GAGCCTCACGGGCTGCCGGTGCCGTGCCGCGCGCGGCCAGGGGGTGGCACACGCGGTCCCGGGTCCGCTTGCCGCGCACGGGGTTGCGCAGCATCAGCATGTCCCTGTTGCTCGTTAAAGGCGGATGACGAGCACTACATCCCGCGAGCCGTGCTCCTGGACCTGGAGCCCCGCGTCATCCACTCCATCCTCAACTCCCCCTACGCCAACCTCTACAACCCCGAAAACATCTACCTGTCCGAGCACGGCGGCGGAGCCGGCAACAACTGGGCCAGTGGCTTCTCGCAGGTAAGTGGCTCTGCTGCTCCTGTGCACAGTGCGCGTGGTGACACGAGGACCTGTCATCCCATCCCATCCTCAGCACGTGCTGCCTGGATAACACCATGTTACTCAGAAAGGACTTACGACTGACACTTTATGGCACCCCGTAATGATGGGTCATGTTGCCAGTCTCATGTGGCTTCACATCGGGTTCGAGGGGCTTTTTATCATTCTGCACAGGAAAGAAACAAGTCCTACTTTGGTTTTGTTTCCCAGGGAGAAAAAATCCACGAAGATATTTTTGACATAATAGACAGAGAAGCTGATGGGAGTGACAGTTTGGAAGTAAGTAAATCGGGTGTCTTTTGGTTCCAGTCACCCTGACCAGTGGTGGTTCCAGGGCCAGCGTGGTTAAAGGAGCACCCAGGGTACCTACAGGAGCTTGAGGACATCAAGGAGAAGGGGACTGGCTCATCGGCTGCTTTGCCTTGTGCATTTGACAGTACCTTGGCCACCATCTGCATAAACCTATTTCCTGTGCACAGACAGACAGGGCTCCCTGGTGTTTGTGTCAGCCTGTCACATGGCAACAGGGGAAAGGAAAACGTGGTTGAAAAATAGGTTGGCAGAAGATCTAAGAGCCTGCGGCGGGTGGGAGCTGCCCTGAAGTCAGGTGGAGGGGGTTGGCCTCAGCGCCTCGAGGAGGAGGGGAATAGCGTGGTGGGCCCAGCACATTTACCTTCGCTTTATTGGCCTGACTGAATCCCGAAAATGACATCCGAGCTATTCTGAAGCCTGTTTAGAGTGGGAGGAATCCAGGAGGCTCCTGAGCAGCAGTTGCTCTTGGCGAGTTCGGGGAAGTGAGTTCCTCCCACGCTGGCAGAAGTGGCAAGATTAGCGAGTGGCTGTGGCGCGGAGGAGACCGGGTCAGCTCCGCGTGCCGGCCGAGGGCTCCCTCTCTGTGCTCTCGGGAGCTCTCCTCGGATGGGGAGGTGTCACCCCGGCTGCCGGCGGCAGCCAGGTTTGGCTCCCTCGGCTGAGCTGGACCTTGAGCTGCCTTCGCTCTGCTTCTTTCCAGGGATTTGTGCTCTGCCACTCCATTGCTGGCGGAACGGGCTCCGGGCTGGGCTCCTACCTCCTGGAGCGGCTGAATGACAGGTGAGGAGGCAGCCTGGGCCGGCCCTCGCGGCACAGTCTGGCCCTGGCCGGGCAGGCTGCCAAAGCCAGAGCTCGAGCGCGCTGACTCAGAGCCTGGGCTGCTGCCCCCACCCAAACACTGTCTTGTGCAATCCCTGGCGAGCTGCCCGCCAGGGGCTGGCTCCCATGTGCCTGGGGACTTCAGAGGCTCTCAAACTGCACTCACAGTGTCTAAATTCTGCCTTCCCTGGGCTGCTCTTATCAGGCAGCTGCCTCCTGACACCCTGATTGCGCTGGGAGAGCGGGAGGCTCTAGCTGCAGGCCCTGGGGTGCTGTCTCTGCCTGCTGCAGCTTGCAGCCTCTTGGAAAGGCTTGTAAGAGGCTGCTTAAACAGCCCATGGATCAGTCTTGCCCGTAGCTCCGTCTGGCAGCCCGCTGCTGTGCTGCTGGGGTAGGCAGTGCTGAGACAAATCCCTTCCTCCCTGGGAGCTGAGTCTGGCACGCAGCAGTACCCGTGACTCACCGCTGTCCTGAGCCCCAGAGACTGGAAAGGGAGCTTGTGGGAGGAGAGAGCCCTGCGCTGGTGCTGTTAACCCCGACGTGGCCGGTCTTTCTCACCAGGTATCCCAAGAAGCTGGTGGAGACCTACTCGGTTTTCCCAAACCAGGACGAGATGAGCGACGTCGTGGTGCAGCCGTACAACTCCCTGCTGACGCTCAAGCGGCTCACGCAGAACGCGGACTGCGTGGTGAGAGCCCCTTCCCGTGTCCCCCGCGGCGTCATTAGCTGCACGCGGCTTCCGTCAGGTGCCGGCCGACGCGCTCGGCCGTCCCTCCCGGCGTATCCGTGCGCTTGGCAGGGAAGAGCAGCGGTGCCGGGGGGGTAAAGGTCGCCGCGAGGCGCTGGCCCCGGGCTGTGCCCTCCCGGGGCGCGCGGCCAAGCGGCAGGGGAGGGTTCCCATTGACAGTGTCGGTTACGCGCCGCCGATGAGTCAGCTTGTGGTTTCCAGTGTCTGCCACCTGCCTGCGAGGGCTGCGGCGCCGCTCCGCGCCTGTCCCGGGCCGGGCTGCGGGAGCTGGTGGCCTCCGACACGCGGCTGGGGCTGCGTTTCCTCCGGGTGCCTCTCGAGACTCCTCACGGAGCTGGTTTTTCTTTTCAGGTGGTTCTAGACAACACGGCCTTGAATCGGATCGCGACAGACAGGCTGCACATTCAAAACCCGTCCTTCTCCCAGATTAACCAATTGGTGAGGAAGGTTTTTCCCTTTGGAGAAGCTGGGGTGTAACTTCCACGGTCTCCCCATTCAAACGGCTCCATGGGCTGGACCTCACGGTGGGCAGCCTGGAGCCGTAAGCGCAGGAGGTCCCTGGGCTTTCATCAAGGGGGACCTGGGCCTGACCCGCTCCGTGGCCGGGCGGCGACGTGACCTCAAAGCCCTCTCCTATCCCGCAGGTTTCCACCATCATGTCAGCCAGCACCACCACGCTCAGGTACCCCGGCTACATGAACAACGACCTCATCGGGCTGATCGCCTCGCTCATCCCCACCCCGCGCCTGCACTTCCTCATGACGGGCTACACCCCGCTCACCACGGACCAGTCGGTAAGGCCGCCCACGGGCCCTCGGGCTCCACACTCACCCTTGGGACATCCCGTCCAGCCCCGCTGCCCTGGCGGGCGCAGGAATGGCGGGCTGGGAAGCCC